CTGGTGTAACAGTCTGGGCCTGGTGCTTTTCTCCTTTTCGGCTTCCGGAAGACCTGGCGCACTTCTTCTTCGCTGATCTGAATTGCAGGTGTGGGGAGAGGGGGGTTGCTGGAGGTGTGAATGGTTGAGTGGAGAGGTGTTCAGGGCGGGTGTGGGGTGTCTTTTCAGATCGTCTGCCAGGTGTTGATTCTCCACAGTGCTGGGGGATGGTGTCTTGTAATTGGTGATTTCTTTTAGACTTTTCCACACTGATGCCGAGTCACTGGAAGATAATTGAATCCTTATTTTTTTCTGAATAATTCCTCTTTGCCACTCTGATCTCCTTTTCCAGTGTGTATTTAGCCTGTTTATACAAGACATTATCCCCCTTCCTGTGAGCATCTTCTTTGGCCTGACGGAGCTGTCTGAGTTTTGCAGTGAACCATGGTTTGTCATTGTTGTAAGTTAAATGAGTCCTGGTAGGAATGCACATGTCTTCACAGAAACTGATATAAGATGTTACAGTCTCTGTGAGCTCATCCAGATCGGTGGTAGCAGCTTCAAAGATGCTCCAATCAGTGAGGTCAAAACAAGCTTTTAAATCCTGCTCTGCTTCATTAGTCCATCTTTTTACAGTCCTTAATACAGGTTTAGCTGATTTCAGTTTCTGCCTGTAGGTCGGTATAAGATGAACTAAACAGTGATCAGAGAGCCCCAAAGCTGCTCGTGGGACAGAGTGATATGCATTCTTTATTGTGGTGTAACAGTGATCCAATATATTACTGTCTCTGGTGGGACATGTGATGTGCTGTCTGTATTTTGGCAGTTCACGGGAGAGATTTGCTTTATTAAAGTCCCCGAGAATGATTAAAAAAGAGTCTGGGTGTTGTTGTTCTGTGTCTGTGATCAGCGAGTTGTTGTAAAGCCGAGCTCACGTGTGCTTGCGGAGGAATGTACACACTTACGAGAATGAATGAGCAAAACTCCCGCGGCGAGAACGGCTTGCAAATAATGAAGAGCACTTCTAGATCTGAACAGCACATCTTTACAGTTACATCTGTACACCACCTCTCATTGATGTAAAAACATGTCCCGCCGCCGAGTGATTTCCCTGTTGATTCTGCGTCGCGATCTGCTCTGAACAGCTGAAAGCCCGGGAGACTCAACGCGCTGTCCGGAATGGCGTCTTTCAGCCAGGTTTCCGTGAAACACAGAGCAGCAGAGTTTGAAAAATCCTTATTTGTCCGGGAGAGCAGAAGAAGTTTGTCCGTTTTGTTGGGTAGGTCGTTGGCTAGGCAACGGCGTTCTGAATCCGCGCTGTCTGAGCTTCAGGAGCGCGCCGCCTCGCTTCCCTCGTCTGCGCGTCCTGAAGCGTTTGATCAGCGCAGCTGCTCCCCCGACAACAATGTCCAGCAAAACATCAGAATAATTGAAAACCAGTGAAATAAGACATCACGGAGATATTTCTCCGTTATGGGAACTCCTTCCCTTCCAACCTTTCCTGAAGTCCTATTGGCTCCCGCTAGTTTGATGACTGGCCAATTGACGCGAAGTATGCAAATCGCATGCAAATACTGACGAGCTCGAGGGGCAGTATAAAATGCGGTGCACGCGACAATTACGTCAGAATCTTCTACTTCACCTGTTGAATTCACTATGGCAACAATCTGCATAGAGCCACCGGATCAGCACGACTACTGCGTCGCCTGTCTGGGCCTGGCCCACGCCGAGGCGGCGCTGGACTAGTCCAACTGCGGGCATTGCGCGGACCTTCCGGCCCGCGTGCTCCGGACCCGCCGCGATGTAGCTCGCGGCCTAATCGGGATGAGGCCCACTGCCGCCAGCGTGCCGCTGGTGG